AGGCCTGTTTGTTCCGGCCAACGCCATCAGCTTTCAAGTGGCGGTCAGTATCAGGGAAACAAACCCTTTTTCTGTGCGCATGCACCAGACAAACACAGATTTGTAATCATGTTGTTGTCCCTCAGGAGCGTTCTGGTGCAGTAAGCCTGGTGGTGCTGATGGTGTGTGTGTTGGGCCTACTGAGCTATTCTGTGGCAGCAGCCATCTTGCACAAGTTGGACCAGCTGGATCTACGGCGGGCTGCTGTGGTTCCTCTCTGCGGCCATGACGGACTCTTCAAGTACGAGATCCAGGTCAAGACCGGCTGGAGCCGAGGGGCAGGTGAGCTCAGGAGGGGGACACTTATGAAATGGTATAAAGTGGACATACGGCATTTAATAGAACAATTTGTCTTTACAGTGCAACATAAATACTAAAGTTACTTACTTTATTGGCCTGAAAAATTCATATAACCAATAATGAGTATAAAGAATCATATAAATCCCAAGCAGTTTCAGGCAATTTTCCCCTCCCTTTTCCTTTTTGGGGTCTTTACTGCAATATAAAGTCATACTCCTCCATGGAAACGGCAGAATCATGGCTACAAAAGCGAAGAACTCAAAAATAACTTTTGCACATTGTGGGATTCAGAGGGTTAAAAGCTGTAATGAGTTAATAACCATGTACACTGCTAATATAGCATATATGTGCACCTTTAATTCATACTAAATCTAAAGAGTGAACTATAATTTTGTGAAATGGATTTTGAAATCAAGTTTTTGAAATCAAATGTAGTTAAAATGAAAGAGATTTCAAGGGAGACATAGATAGAGAATTAGGGAGAAATTAAGTTTTAAGACAAATGTCTGTATGTTGTGTGAATGAAACAAAATGTAGTTTTTCTAAGAAATGTACTTTACCCGGTTCAGTGACTCTATTATTAGGATAGAAGGAAAAAAAATGACTGCACGTTAAACATGTTTTGGGGTTATTTGATATAATATAAGCTTCTTCCCGTCCATCCAGGCACCACGGCTCATGTTGGAGTAAGTTTGTTTGGCCGTGAGAGTCACAGCGGGCACCGCCATTTAGACAGCAGAGGAGCGTTCACGCGCAACGCCCTCGACATCTTTCACATCGCCATGGATACCAACCTAGGCAGCGTTTGGAAAATACGACTTTGGCATGACAACAAGGGTACAGAACCACATATGCAATCCAACACAGACCTGTTATCACAGACTTAACAGAGCTGATATTTGAATGACGTTCTCTGCTCTCAACCCTTCCTCAGGTCTGTCCCCAGCGTGGCTGCTACAGTACGTCTTGGTCAAAGACTTGCAGACAGGAAGCAGCTACTACTTCCTGGTTGATGAGTGGCTGTCCGTCGACAATGAAAAGACTGACGGACGGGTCGAGTTTGAAGTAGAGGCATCAGGTGAGAGAATACAACCCAACCGTCAGAAATAAGTATCCACTGATGGTGTCAATTCGCTCACGTTTGTCTTCCTGTTTCCTTCAGAGGAGGCGGTGCTCCGTCAGCTGCCCCGCCGTCTGCGCTGTGAGCTGCAGAGGGCGCTGTGTGAGAGTCACCTGTGGCTGTCACTCTGGGAGAGACCCCCCCGCAGCCCCTTCACCCGCCTGCAGAGAGCCACATGCTGCGCCGTGTTACTGCAGCTCTTTATTCTGGCCAACACACTGTGGTACAGCATTGTGGTGGACAGGAGATACAGGTATGTGATTGTCTACTTGCTCTGTGTCTTTCGTGTGCTTTTCTTCCAACATTTAACGCCCCCCCTGTGTTGCAGCCCTCGTCGACCCGTGTCCAGGTTTTCCTCGTTGGATGGAGAGACGGTGGCAGCAGGCGTGGTGACCTGCCTGATCGTCTACCCTCTCTACCTGCTTGTCTTCACGCTCTTCAGAATGAGCCGCAGCAAGGTAACACAAACCTGACCGGACCTGTAAAGCAATCAAGGTTTTTAGTATCTCCCTCAGGCCAAACAGGATGTTTAAACTTTCCTCTGTGTGTGTGAATGTGTGTGTGTGTGAACATTAGTGCGTATCTGTGGAGCAGGTGCCACCACAAATGGATCAGGAGTCGGTGGAGATTGATGACTTCCTGGATGACTCCATCGCTGGAAGCTCTTTCCTGTTTTATAATGGCGAGGTAAAGTCTCCAAGGGAAAGATTGTGAAGTAAAAAAAAATCATGCCTCATACAGTTATAGCTCAGATGTCTAAACCAATTACAATTTAACACATTTGTGGGATAGGGGCAGGGGATGTTCAGAGGGAGAGAAAAAGTAAACACTGCAGCACAGTCAAAAATAAAGACCTTTTTGAACATTCAAGCATGGAGACATGTCACAGTAGAGGCACAACATACACAGTATATATGAACCTTAAAATGAGGATGTGTTCAGCCCAGGAGTTTTTTAAGTAAAAAGAGAGTGCTGTCAGTCAAGTAAAAAGAGGAGATCTTTTATGCTTTCCATTAGTGAGATCATTAGTGTGCGTCAGACTCTTTCTCTGTCTTTTTCCACATCTATCTGTTAATCAATTATTCTTCTCTGTCTGCAGACAAACTCAGAAGAGACCAATCTGGATTTGCCCACTCCATCAACCAAAAGGTGAGATACTCTGTTGCCATGACAGTCCATTTAGAGAATTGAACTTATTGGAAGAGAAATGCCAAGAATAATGTAGGATTGCGTGAGGATAAAAGAGAAGATATGAATAAAAAGCATATTGGATAAAAAGAGGTTGTTAGGTAAGTCTCACTTCTTAACAAACATGTCGCTGTGTATTTCAGCGGGGAGAGTTGGGGCATGGCTGAGGAGGAGATGGAGGACCGGGATTGGCCAGAGCTGTTGAGTGATGTGTCTGTGGTGGGAGGGGCGGGGCATGGGGCGGGGCTGCCCAGGCTGAAGAGGGGTCAGGGAAGCAGGCACCTAGGTGTTGACATGACCTTTAACCCTGACGACCACGAGGGAACCAACCAGCGCAACAAGCACTTCACCTCCTCAGGTAACCCAAACAGGAAGACTTTTCAACCACATTTACCAATCAGTGACTCCGTCTAATAACTACATGAAGCATTTGGTTGTATTACTCCACTGTCTGTGTCATATGAGAGTGCTGAGGCTGTTCTCTCCGCTCACAGACGAGGATCTGATCAAACACATCCTGGCAGATGGACAGAACTTCTTTCCTCAGGCAGATGAGAGTGAGATGGCTGACCTGTACGTTTGATCTCTGAATATGTTTTGTTTACCAAAGACAATGGATTCAAAAGCTTCAATCATATTAAATTGTTGATTTCCATCGCTGTGTCTGTGCCAGGTCGAGCATTTTCGGAGATAAGACAGAAGTGATTCTCCTCCAGAAGCTGAACGAGCCTCTTCCTCTAGAATCTGTGAGAAGAGACCCACCGAAGACTGCTTTCACCTCAAATACAGGTGTGTGTGTGTGTGTGTGTGTGTGTGTGTGTGTGTGTGTGTGTGTGTGTGTGTGTGTGTGTGTGTGTGTAAGAGTCACCCTTTACATCATCAGAGCATTAATGGCCCACATTAATCAATCCTCAAGAATGAAGCTATCTAAGGGGCAAACAGTGATTTGCTGAGCGCTGAGAATACTTTATAATGGCAGATTTAACTTCTTGTGATTGAGTAAAATAACAGCAATGTCCATTTTATAAATTAAATGCAGATGCAAACAAATGTTTCCTCCAATCAAATACATGAAATCGTAAATACCATCAGAACAAAGTCATTGTAAAAGATGTTCAATTTGATATGGCATCCGACAGTTATTTTCTTCATGGAACAATTATCTGCAAACTGTTCTTCTGTCTGTGTGCTTTTCTCTTGACAAGGGACACAAATCACCCCGTGTTTTTTTGTTGTAAAACGTCTTTCTCTCATTAGGTCAAGAGCCAAGTTTAATGGAAACTCACTTTTCTTTTTTACTTTTATTCAGTAATGAGCTCGGTACTGGCGGCTGAGTGTCTAGTCAATTATATTAATGATTCAATGTGAAAGCAGAGCATTCACAAAGTGCTTTCATTTTGCTGGGGTGTGTGTGGCGCAGTGGGTTAGTGTGTTGAGGTTCAAACCCCACTGCAGTCAGCATGTCGTTGTGTCCCTGGGCAAGACACTTCACCCCAAATTGCTCCTGTGGGGATTGTCCATAGTATTGAGTATGTAAGTCGCTTTTGATAAAAGTGTTGACCTCGTCAGACAATGCAGCGTATACCTCCTGAGCCTTGCCCGTTAAAACGCACTGCAGCATCACAGTCCACACATCCCTAGCCATCTTCAAAGGTTTGTTGCAACCGTTCGAAAAGGATAAAAAAATTTCCACCATCCCCT